TGTCTTACTGTTTCCCTTAAGATCCACATAAATTCGACATACATCCAAAACCAAGCACAGTAGAAAACTATTTGCCTCTACCCATTAACAACACCTGAACAGAATCATGATTGACCTTAAATAACCCATCCCCACATCAGACACTCAGAACTCAAAATTAAATACGCCCCCTGGTGGCAATAAACACCAGAAAGGATAAATGGCTCCTACATAGAATTTATTTTTGTTTACAAAATTAAACAATTTAAAGAACATTGTCCAGGAGTGGTGATTTTGTATTTTTTGCCAAAATTGTACGTATTACCCGGTCTGAACAAGGCTTTTTCTATTGTTTCTTTCACTTTCCTTTTTCTCTTACTCTAATTTAACTCTTTTATGTGTTTCTTTTTTGTTTGTTTTRACTATCAGGGTGATGCTGTACAAAGTATATGAAAACATGACTAGRGAGAATTTAAACAAGATGAAGTATCTACTGACAGACGATCTGGGCAAAAGACACTTGGAGAAGAGCAGTGTAAGAAAACACACTCAGTTTACCACATTTATAGAGCGATAAGAAATAATGACATCATAGCCCCATCATCAGCCGCAACATGTATGACTACTAAAAGCTCTCCACAAGAATTGATTACAGGACCTTTATTAAAACTGCACAGCCATTGCAATTAAACCAATAAATATTTTCTCTGATAATTACAGACAGCTTTGGATGTGTTTGCTGAAATGGAGAAGATGGGAATAATCTCACAAACTAATGTGAATAAGCTCCAAATGATTCTGCTCAAGTTGGATCAYCAGCTGGCAATGACTGTGCAAAACTACATGGACGGTATGTTGTAGTATATTATTTCATACAGCTCTTAACCAGGRTTAAATTCTGGACCAAATCCCCCATGTTCAATAAAGTCTTACAAATTTTATGGYGTTATTTTCCATTTGTGACACATTATCTTTAAGTATAGTCTCATTTGCATCTGAAAGAGACTTCATCAACATTATCCTGAGTTTCCTTGAGAACTTGTGTATTTGTCTAATTAGGTTCTGCTTAATTTAGRACAAGAAACAGATTTCAAATCATTTGTAAATGTAAAATTTCTAATTCTATGCAACAGAATAAACAAATGTAACAGGTAAAAGAAAGTAACACTTGTTCTGTTACGTGCTGCAGTGTTTCAACTACAGGAGGATGTTTGGCCCCCAAGCTGTTGGCTTTGAGTAACTGTGGCCACTGGATTGATTTAGTTGAATAGCCCTTAAACTCTTGACAAGCGATTATATATTTCAGTATTTCATGGTTTCTGTATATTATTTTGGGCCTACTACGTATAAAATGTTAATTTTATCCACTACAAATACCTTTCACCTTTAGGACTTACATGTTAAATTCTCTAAATTAGTATACCATCTCGTCAGATACAGTGAGTTAAACAAACTACAGCAGGGCTATTCAACTGGTGGCCCAAAGTTCGGCCCGCCAATTATTTCATTCATCTCTTAAGCCCAAACCCCCGGTTTTCTAC